GGGATTTTTAGGGTCAACTTTTTCTAACCCTCTTTCCTTCCTTATGAGAAGACAGCATCGCTGCAGATGCTGGTTGTCCGAGGGAAACACCTTACTACCATCACACCCCTATACAGTCAGCAGTACGACTTCACCATGAAACCTTACATTGCTGCTTTTAGTCTTACACGTCCTGCCTGGCACGATAGGACGTAAAGGAACAGGTGTTCCAGCCAGTCTTGCGGGCCCCAACCAAACGATACTTAGATGACTAATATTTACGTATTATAGTTTAATTTGTAACTATCGTATTACTGTGATTAACGAAGAAGTTAAGACCAGATGGAATTAAAATATATATTTGAAGAAGACAATTTACGAAATCTGTACATATTTAGTATTCAATCATCCTATTTGTAATGTCAGCCGGGCGGGGGTTACTGCTTTTGTGCATACTCTTTGGATTTCCAACTTGTCTGCAGACCAATCTAGACAGCATGTATGTTCCCGCAAGAGGCAGGGGTGACTACTGTTGGCTACAGTGAGAAACCTTGCGCTGCATATCAACGCAGCGATGTGCATGTGCAGCAGGCCTGTTGGTTGACCATGAAATAGATGACTAATATTACCGTATTATAGTTTAATTCGTAACTATCGTATTACTGTGATTAACCAAGAAGTTAAGACCAGGTCGAATTAAAATATATATTTGAAGAAGACAATTTACCAAAATCTGTACATATTTAGTATTCATGTCAGTAGGTTGTATCTTCTAATCTTCAAAATTTCTTGATCACGCCATGAATTTCGATCTACTGACCCGCTTCTCTCTGGTAACAGCATCTAGGTGACTCTCCTACATACTACTTATGAACCACTTTGAGAGTAGTATCCACCACCTTAAGACATTTTTACGTACTGTATTTTATCTTTTAAATGTAAAGTTGAATACCTTCTTTGACGAGTTGCGAAGCAATCGTGTTACTTTACCCCGCTTAAGTGTTACACAACATGCCTCTGAAGGAATTCCATTGAATTTAGAACCAGAAAGTACCATTAGCATTAATGGTCCCTGTAGCCGTTCTTAGTTCTCAATCATTGTATCCTTCTGTTACAATTGCCTATAACTATTATTATTCTACACACTTTTGAGACGTTTTTCATGTCTACTTGAGGAAAAGTGGGCATTGAAAACTGGTAATCTTAATGAATTTCACTTAATATTATTACTAATGAGTAATAAAAATTCACTGAACAATACGTCCCATTTTTAAAAACACCATATTATTTATTTGATTTAATCTATTCCTGAATTTCTGAAAATCATGTGTAATATTTATTCGAATAAAAAGCATCTTATTTTTTTTTTAACGATTAGTCAACCAAGTACTTTCTAGGTATAATTCAGACTAATCTGAATTACACAGCAAGTAGAACTTGTTACGTACGTACGTGCATAATCAGTTCAAGTTGCCATACCAAATTAGTACACAAAGAGATGGAATTCAGTCAGTCAGTCAGATGCAACGTAGAACTTCGTACGTAAGTACATCAGTTCATGTTGACATACCACATCAGCACAGATATATAACTGTCAATTCAAATCCAATAGTAGTAGAGGTAGTAAAGGTATTAGCAGTAATCGGAGAAGTTAGGATTAGAAGATTCTATTCAAGAAGTATGATTCAGTGAGAAAAGTTTAGAAAGACAAAACTACAGCGGTTGAAGAATCCAGAAGATTAGGATTTGACAGAACACAAAGAATAAATGCACCGGCGCCATTGCGAACGATTTTGAGCCATGTCATTCAAGGTCTCTAACCATCGATTATTATCATCTCGCGGACAACAACCAGGTAGCCGACAACTACCGACATGTCTCAGTCCACTTGTCAATGACTTCATGGAATTCTACCATGTTTTGATTTGGCCGCCCCTAGCTTTCTTCCAACCTACTCCTACACCACGAAACAAAGCTCTTCGAGGCAGTCGGTGGTTAGGCATACGCAACACATGTCCCAACCATCTCAACTGATGAGGTTTCATTACTTCATTTATTGATCTGCCATTCTTACCTAGCACCCGTTTCCTAATAACAGTGTTGCTCACTCGGGTGTCCCACGATATACGAGCAATGCTTCGAAGACACCTATGATCGAAAACCAATAACCGACGAATATCTTCTACTGTCACTGGCCATGTTTCACGGCCATAAATTAAGACGGAACGAACTACTGCGCAGTACACTCGTCCTTTAGTCAGAGATGGAATTCGATTCAATTCAAATCCCATAGTGGTAGAGGCAGTAAAAGTATTGACGGTAATGAGGACCCCAAGATATGATTTGAGAAGTATAATCCAGTTAAGTTCATTTGAAAAGAGAAACAAAAGTTCATAAAGAGTTTCGAAGAATTGGAATGTGAGAAGAGACAAAAAATGGATGCACCAGCACCATTGCAGCTGATTTTGAGTCATGTCATTGAAAGTCTCCAACCAACAATTACTATCGTCTTACGGACCCCAACCAGGTAGTCTACACCTACTAACATGGCTCAGTCTAGTTGTTAGTGACTACATATATTTGTACTATGTTTCTTTCAACCTACCCCTAACGTAGTTTAGTATTTTATGCGTACCTAAATAAACTTAGTTGATAAAACTTGATCAGTACTAAGAAGTAGATAGTATTGCACCGATTAATACCTAGTTACAGACTATTAGAACACATTTAAGGAATGGAATCAACTCATTACACTTTAATGAACTTCATAGATTACAATTATAGTTGAAATAATTCAAGAATTATTAAAAATAACAGAATGATTATGAATATTCATTTAGAAATAACTACTTACTTTTACATTTATTTCCAAATAGTAGGCCATGACCACCAATTTGATTAGGATAATCTATCAAATCTGATGGTAATAAAGAACTATTTTCAAATAAATAATTTAACTTGTTTGTTTCATCATTTGTAGAATCCCATTTATGGTTGACAATCATTTAAATTTGTAGCATTACTGTTAAAATAAAAAAAAGAATATTAGTTATTAAGTACTGCATGTAAAGAGAAAAAACATATCATCCAATTTGGGATTTGATTAGTGAAATTCCCTAATAGCATAATAATTATAACAAAATAACAACTAAGATGTGCAAAAGAACCGATACATATTTGATTGAACGAGAAAATGGAAAGGCATAACTCTGCATTTATATAACTGCACAAAATACACTAATATTCTTAGATTATTCAAAGTAAAGTGGGTCTTAAGATTCAAAATCAGTTACGTATGATACATTTTTCTACACACACAAATATTTGATGGCTGATAACATAAATGAACTGCAGTCTGATAGTAAAACGTTAAGTCTTTAAGACGTTCTCATCCATTTAGCGTGTACATATTGCACTAGAGGTATGAGTTAGAGAATTTGGATAAAAAACAATTTTGCTCTTAACAGGAAAAGTGAATCAATATCTCAGTAAACACATAAAGTCATTAACGTTTAGAAATGTAAGCAATCAATAACTAGCAATACATGATACAAGGAAGGACTAAACACAGACTGAAGTGAGGAATCAGAAGTTAACAGTGTGAGGCTTTGTCTGCCTTGCGTCACTGTAACGGTTAGTGCTAAAAATGAGAGCACTTTTGTACTGGGGAGGCGAGTAAACTAGTCAGTGTGAAGACAGCTAGAAAGGAGAAGAATAAGATATGTTAGACAACAACTTAGTATGAGCACAGGATGCACTTACATGCAGTAAAGTAAATAATCGGCAATAGTTACCACTGATGCATGAATACAACTGAGATAATCATGAGGACTGCGGAATACCAAACTTGCGCACTATTTATGTTTAGAGTTCCGAAAAAAACCGACAGGTTAAAACAAAGAAAGTTCATTGTAATAAAGTTAATTGATAGATTTTTATTGTGTTAATCCTCGTAGGGCCTATCTCTATGAATATTTAAGTTTCCCCTAGAAGCTGGAAAAAGGTGGGAAAATTTGGACGGAATTTGAGGCAGATATATCCAATATCTTTTTTAGGAGCTAGTATAGACCAATTGATTTCTTTGCTCTCAATTCTTGTTCTTTCGGTAGGGTTCCAGATTTTGGTATTATCCAATGAATGGGGGTCTAGCTGCTCGACTGTCTAATCCTAGTCAGTTGGCAGTTTGTTGTGAGTTTGTGTGTCTCGGGATTTGGATGAAAACGTTTGTTTCATGGCTGTAGGGTTTCTGGATATCAGAAGCTGTCAATGATGAGAATAATAAGTGATTATGTGATTATCAAGTCTCTTCTTAAAGCTGTCAACTGAGAGGACTGTGGTCACCTCGGCTAGGAGAGCATTCCAGGTTGCGACAACTCTCAATGAGAAAAAGTGTCCACGAACCTGAGTATTCGCTCTCTGATATGCGATTTTTCGAGGATTCTCTCGAGAGGAGTGGTGGTAATGCATCGGTAAGATGCTCACGTTGGGATGGTTTGGCGTGTTTAATATATTATACGCCATAATCAGGTCACATCTGATTCTCCTGTAACTCACGGAGAATAATCCCAAGAGCTGGAGTCTATCTTCGTAAGGTTTATTCTTCAACCCTATCACCCATTTGGTTGCTCGTCTCTGTACTCGATCCAAGAGATTTATGTCTCTTTTAGGCAGATGGAGTGCGATGACGTTGTGAACCTACAGCTGTGAGTGCGCGTATGTCCTAAATAATGTTAAGAATAATTCTGGGGTGATAGCACCAAGTTGTCTTCGCATAAAGTGAAGATTCGCATTTGCCTTGGCTGCATCCCCCATGTAGTTCGGACTCGTGTGAAGGCATTATGTGCTTATTAAACCGAGATCGCCCTCTGAGGAGACGTTAGGGAGTGAACTTTTATTGACGGTGTAAATCGTTTGCGTCATGTGGGGCAGAGTAAACAAGACATGGCGCTTCGGTTGGTTGAGTTTTGAACCGCTCTTCACTGCTCATTCCTCAATAGATGTAAGGTCCTTTTGAAGCTCAGCCGAATTCTCTTCGCTTCTAATGGACCTCCAGATATTCGCATCGTCTGCGTAGATCAATGCTGGTGAACTAATTGAGCCTAAAAAATCGTTAATAAATATCAAGAAGAGAAGTGGGCCTAAGATGGTCCCCTGTGAAACTCCCGATGTGGATACTTGCCAGCTCGCGTGCACTCTATTAACCTAGGTACGAAACTTTCTATTCTCAAGGTAGTTTCTGAGCCAAGATACGAGTGGGTTAGGGAAGCCCATTTCCACAACCTTTGCAATTAGGCGTGTATGGGGTACTGTGTCAAAGGCTTTTGCAAAGTCGAGAAATATTACGTGTACCGGTATTTTTCGGTCCAAACAGGATGTCCAACTGTCCCATGCTATGAGAAGATCAGATGCCTTTCCGAAAGATCGTTCTCTGATCCCGATCAAATCGGTTTCTCGTCGACTAGTCTAATTTCTTGTGTGATCTGCTTTCGTTGAGCACGTCGCAGGACGTTTTATGGAACTGTCCTCTGAAATCAACAAGGTCTGTGAAAAAATCACCATCTTCAGCCTTTTCTACACCCTCCTATTTAATGAGGTCAGTCTAATATCCAATATATTTTTCACTACCTAAAACGAACCAATTAATTTCCTAGCGAGCGTTTGTTGTTGTTTCGGTACGGTTCCAGGTATCTGATTGATTTCAATGGATCACAGTCTAGCTTCTAACTGTACTAGTCAGTTGGCATTCCTTTACTAATTTGTGTCCTATGATTCGGGAGATTGCGTTTGTCTCAGGGCAGTAGGGTTTCTGGATACCAGCAGTTATTATATTATCAGTCTTGTAAGCATTTAGTTGCAATGTGGATAATTATAAAGAGAAAATCCTAATGCTAATAAGAAGATAATAACGACATTTCAGAACTAAGTAAATAAATATATTGTTTGATGGTGAAAAATGTGAGGGTAAGAAGTGTAAGCAAGGAAGAAGAAAAAGAGATGGTGAGTTTGTGAATGTTGGAAACTCCCAAACGAATCAAAACCAGGAAAAATCGTGTTATAGAATAAAAATATTTATTGATTGGAAGTTGCGTGATATCAAAATGATATCACGTGTTCAGCCAGACAGCGAAATAACAAGAACGATCAATAAATCCACAGGGTTGGCGAGTTTGGCGCTTGAGTTATGGCTTTTTGTACAGATAAAAAAAGGTGTACAATAAAACAGTTATTGTTAAGCATGTTCAATAATAAGTATTTGTATATCAGCAATTATATTTTCTTCATAAAATAGTTCCACTACAAGTTAATAATCTGAGGAGATGGAACTGATGGCAACTGGTAGGTCTCGAGACATGCATCAGGTACAGCTGGTCCAAGGGGGAGACGACAATCCACATGTGAGTGTTTGTTTGTAAAGTATCTTGAAGCTTTCCATTGAGAGGGCTATGGTCATTTCATCTGAAAGAGCATTTCAAGTTGATACCCTTCTTAATGAGAAAAAGTGTGTACGAACCTGAGTTTTCGCTCTTTAGTGTGCAATGTTTCAAAGGCTACCTCGAGGGACGTGGTGGTGATATTATGGCACGATGGTGTGTTGAGGTGATTAGGTGTACTTGGTATGTTGTTTGCCATTAGAAGATCACCTCTGATAGTCCTATAACTCAGTGGGAATAATGCCGAGTGTTCAAGTTTGTCCTCTTATGGTTTATTTCTCAACCCCATCACTCATTTCGTTGCTCGTCTCTGCACTCGATCTAAGGGATTTATGTATCATCTAAAAAGGCTGGGTGCAACAACATTGTGAATTTCAAGGTGTGGTCGTGCTTATGTTTCAAAGAGAGTTAAGAACGGTTCTATTGTGAATAAACAGAATTGCCTCTGTATTAAGTAAAGAGTTACATCAGCCTTAGCTGCTTCTCCTATTTAGATTGAAGTGGTGTTCATGTGCTCTTGAGTTATTAGACCGAGATCGCTCTCCGAAGAGACATTAGGGAGCGGACTTTCATTATATATGAATTGTCTGTTCAAGTGAGACACAATGTTCATAGTGTGAAATTTTGACTGGCTTGGTCTTAACCCGTTTTCCACTGCCCATGTAAAGTCCTGTTGAAACACAGTTGAATGAACTTCGATTCTTACGGACCTCCAGACCTGGGCATCGTATGCATAGATTAATGCCGTTGAACTAATTTTATCTGACAAGTCGTTAATAAATGTCAGCAAGAGGAGTGGACCTGAGATAGTCCCCCTGTGAAACTCTTGATGTTGAGACTTACCAGCCTAATAGGAAACTTTCTCTTTTCAAGGTAGTTTCTGAGCCATGATAAGAGTGGATCAGTACAGCACATTTTCGGAGTATGTGGGTTACCGTGTCAAAGTCATTCTAGGAGTCAAGAAATATTGTATGGACCGGTTATATTTGGTCACAGAAAGTTGTTTAACTGTCCCATATAACGAGAATATTGGGTGTGTATGACATGCCTTTCCTAAACCTGTGTTGGGTAAGTCAAGGATGTTGTTATCATCCAAAATAATTATGATGTTATATTTCTTATACAGGAGGGACACGCCATTTTGCAGGCATGCTCAGTTTGAAAAAATGACATTTCCAATAAGAGATTATAGATAGAGTAAGTACCGAGAAGAGTTCTGAGGTGCTGATAATAGTTCAGGGGTGATTAGCAAGAAGTCGTTTAGGGAGGTCTGCTTGCAGGTCGTTTATATAATGGAACAGGTTAGTATGCCTATATTTTTTTAGCAATCTTCGACTGAAATAATGAAACTAGATTTTAAGCCTTAATTCCACTTGATGCCCCTCCAAGGTTACCTGACATGAGCCCGGGTAAAAGAGAAGGGTTGGTTATAGGGTCAGCCACCGTTTGTTGTAAAACGCTAACATGGTGAAAAACGCTAACCAGAAAAACAACCTAATGATACTTGGAATAAGTGAAACATATCGGATGCAGGTTGGACAAAAAGATTGACTTCAGGAGAGATGCTGTTGTAT